GGCTATTTCAAGCACATATTGAGAGCCCTCCAATTTTTATGTTGTATACTTTTAAACTTGTAAAAGTATTTTTTAAGCATGGACATGAATTGCTATTTAATTTGTAAAATGGAAATTCATCTCAGTGTGTTCTCAATTTGCAATCTTGGTTCACCTGCTCTCAGAGAAGATCAATGACTCGTTCAGGGGACCAGATCCTAACATACTAGCCAGACTAGGTTGTTTCAAACACCTTACTAGGGAGATGATCCACCTGTCTGAACAGAATTCAGATAGGTAAAGCAAATAAAGGTTATCTGTATAACACACACACACAAAAGACAGCAGGTTTATTGACTTTTCCAGAGATGTGACAGTCATAAAGAAATAGTCCAACAGTAAAGCTGGTTTGTTAGATTTTCTTTTCAAGGTACTCTTTTAAAAAGAACCTATCCAAAAACAAGACCAAACCAGAAGTCTGACCACTACAAAGGCTGAAGGGAATAGGAAAGACCCCCAGCAGAAAAGAAACCAAGTGTCAGTGAGACAAATAGCTCAGGTGGCCAGATTCAGTGCCCAGTGAGAGATGCCTGCTTTAGGAAACAAGGGGCATCATTTCCCCGATCTCCATGTCCCAATTCCAGGCTTCATTTAGTTTTATTCTCCTCTTAATCCACAAAAACAGCTCGCTGTGTCATGTTCTCGTCTGTGTTCTATTTCCTCTTGACACTCCATTCCATTTTCTGATCAATGCAACCTCACCACCTTCTCAGAAATCATAAACCCTTTCTTAAATTGATAACTTCATATAAAAATCACCACCCCCTTTCCTGGGACTCCCAAGGATCGCACAGAGAGGCTCTGCGAAGCACACACCCGCACCAGGGCACTCAGAGCACGGAGCCCAGCGACTGCACCAGCTCCACCAAGCCCTGACCTATTTTTCCTGGGCAAATGCATGCCCCCTTTTATCTGTCCAACACTTCAGAAAATCTACTTCTTATTTCCCGGTGGATCCCAAGGCTTCGCAGACATCCAAACAATGTTAAAACTTCTCAAACTGAAAGAAAAACAAAAGCTAGAAGGTAGAAATACTCTTTTTTGCTTGGGGGGGGGGGGGGACGGGCAGAGAAATGTAGCACATTTCCCAAAAGAAATAACCCCTTGACTGACAAAGTGTCATAAATCTCATCAATGTCCATGCAACCACCATCCTCAATGCTTAAATTGAACCTTGGGGTTCAACAAGGCCCTGAGCTTAACTTGTTCCTTTAAAGTCAAATCATGTTGGCAACTGCCAGTCGAAGCGAACGGGGACTACAGTGCCACCTCTGAGGGGATATTTGGCCGGGAGTTCGAAACCTTGCCTAGTCAGCTACAGCAGCCAGGCCACATCACTTTTCAGATGATAAGGCAAAACAGGCTTCATCCTAAACTAGCTTTGCCTCAAAATTTATGCTGAACTTCCTCCTAGCCCTCCTAGATGAGCAACATTCTTGGCTCCTCTGGCCTTGATACAACACTTTTCCTAATTCCAAGTAAGCATATTATAAGTACTGGGAAAAAAACAAACAGTGGTGTATGGGATTTTATGATCAGCATTTTGAGTTTAAATTTGTTAAGTAAAACAAATGCATACTGATTTAATGAAAAAGTATCACGGAACTTCCAGTGGCAAAAAGTTCCAACTGTCCATCACCCTGACTGTCCAAATCCAGTCAGTGGCCACATTCCATTGATCTATCTCCTCTCTGTTCTAGTCCCGCAGGTTCCCCTCCAGCTTAGATCTTCTCTAACAGTCATCCCATAATGCTCTGGTCTCCCCGGCTTCAGTGCCTCACTCCTTCAATCATTCTGTGTATCCCTCCGTCCTCGATGAGGCTTCATTACCACTGCCTTACCAGGTTACCACAAAACCCCCAAATCCTAAAAGGCTCCCATTCAGTGGGTCACTGAATTAAGCACAGATTTCACAGCTTCAACATAAGCCCATCTTTGTCAAACTTAACCTCTGGGCACCTTGGGCTACAGCCAATGAGACCATCTGATTCACTAATGTGTCTCTGTATTTCCCCCCCTGGGCCTCTGCTCTGACTGCTTCCTCCTCCTGTAATCCACAGAGCCCTACCCGTTCCTCCCACCACACTCCTTCTGTCTCCTCCCCACCCACCTGAACCCTACCAGTTCTTCAAGACCCGTCTCCTCCATCAGGAACAGGTTCCTCCCCAGAAATTCCGTGTTCTCTACCTTACAAAAGGAATTTAAAACATTCTATTGCCTACTTAATATCATGCATCTTATTTTCCTACTCATTTTAATTTTCTGAGAAGTAGAGACAGAAGTCTTTATTTGCCTCTCATTCTCCATAGAACACCAAGCCTTAGATTTGGCATTCACTCAATAAATACTTATTGAATAAATGAACAAAAATGTTATGTCCTAATTATTTTCATTTTCCAACATACTTAAGATTAAATTATTTCACTTAATCTTTGAAACAACCTAATGTGGTAGGATAAAGGAGAAATTGGAATTTCACTTTTTGAAATGAAAATAAACAGAGGCTCAATGTAATGCTGTGAATTCTCTTGTGTGACATAGCTTCTAGGTCCCCTGATTCCCCAATACATTCCACACCTGGACATTTATTGCTTCTAATGGCAGCCAGACAGGAGGTGTTCTCATATTCCCTTACAGTGAATTCACTGTATCCGAAGAAGTCAGGCCAAAGGGCCTTAATTTTTCTCTCTTACTAATGACCCATGGCATACTCATTCACCACAAGATTCTCAAGTCAACAGACAAGGCCTGGGAGGAACACCTCTTGTTACCCTTTTCTCTTCCCTATATGTAGCTAATGGTACCCTAGAGAGGCTGCTTCCTCTACTCCATCCTACCCTCTCAGAGTAACCAACACTCTGGGCAAATCTTGACTTTTCTAAACATCCGTTCCTAATGTTACAAAAGAGAAGAATAATACCTCATAGTGTAGTCATGAAGACAAAGATAATGCATAAAGTACTGGCACATCACAAGCCTTAAAACAGTAGTTATTAAAATTAATGATAATGAACAAAACCACAGACAATGGGATTACCCACCTTCTCTAAAGGCTTCATTTGTATTATGGAAAAGTGCTGTAATTGGGTAATGAAGAAACAGAAGTTGGCCAAGTAAGGGCCTTTAAGAGTTTGAATAATCAAGTACTAATGGGGGACTCAGGTATTTTTGTCTTTTTAAAATGAGGGTGTTGGTCCTTTCCAGTCTAACACTTCTATGTGTTACGAAGCATTCTGTAGCAATTTCCTAAATTTCTCCCACACACATATCTGCCCTCTTCACACCCAGCAGAGTGCCCCAGTGTGTGGGTACTTTACTCCGTTCAGACTGCAAAAGACTGAAATTATTCAAAGTTTTATCCTTAAAGAATTTTAATTTTGCTCTCATTTAAGAATCCAGGGCTAGATCTTTATATTACTCTGAACTCACCTACAAGTCAATTAACTTTAATGTTTTCCCCAAACTAAACATGGATTATAAAGCCTTCAATGTTTTTAATCTAAAAGTCAAAGGTATTACAGATGATGGCTTACTCTAATACCAAAAACTTATTTCAACATTTCATGATTCTAATTTTGATTACAATTCCCAGAGGAAGTGCTGGATTAAGTTCTAATATACTTTTCTAAAGAAGCCAGTTTTAGATAAATTCCCATTTTAGTCTCTCAATTAGTCGAACTTTAAAATACCTTTTCCCTAGGACACAAAGAGAGAACTTGGAGTGAAATGTAGAGCATGTGTGTGAATCTCAGCATAGATAGTTTTCATGAAATAAAAGGAAGCCTAGGAGGGCTGCAAGACGTTGCCTGCAGCCCAAGAAGACCAGCAGAGCTGAAAGGGTCTGACAGCAGGATGTGGGCTATAATGCTCCTGAATGAAATCCTTTTGTGCAAGGGCATTGCAAAGGGCATCCAGGCAGGACAGTGTGTGTTTGGATTTAAATTAATCAAGTCAGTTCCACAATGCGAAGATTCCTCCTGTTGAACTGGTTAAGGCAGGTTTAGGAGCAGTTCCCAAATGATGTCAATAGCTTCTAAAAGGTCAAATGCAGCGAAGTGCACCACGTCTCCTGGAGTAAGAAGTACCAATAACTTCTTCCGCTATAATCTCCTGGGTGTGACTTATTACGCAGTGGATTATCCCATTTTAATCAACTGCCCTGGTTTTCTTCTTTTCATGTGCCCCCAAAAGTTAAAACATATTTATAACATTTTAATGATATACATGGCAAGACTGTTTTATTCTACAGTAGGTCTGTCTAAAACCAACATAAATGGCCCAGATGCAGCACCAAGTAACACGTTTTTGCACTAGGGGTGGGGGATGAGACAGAAAGGATGAAGGTGGAACTATTCTAACCAACTGGGGCCAAGCACAACCAAAGCATTATCTGTGTTATTAACAAAAACTCATAAAAAGAAAACTACAGCTATAATAAATGGCAATGTCAAGTAATCAATCCTCAGAAAACAGCATGTATATAAAAAAGAACCCAAGCCAGGTGGAAAATTCCATCTGGGATCAAAACCGTGAATTCTAGGCCTTTGGGAGCTTCTTTATAATCCAGTGTTTGTTTTTCCCAAGCAGTAGGGGATTGAATGCATTCTTATAAAATACTAGCCGTGGGTGTCTTGGGCACTGAGCCAAAAGGAAAAAGGAAGGGACATAAGCCAAGTGTACTAGAGTATAAAGTAATCAGGACCAGCTCCTGTCTGACAATGCTGGAGAAACAATAACTGTCAGCTCGGGACTCAAAGGAAACTCCAAGCACCCAACACAGCCCCCACCCTCCTAGTAACCTCCCTGCCCTCCGACTGCAGTGTTGCACAGGTTTTCAGAGCACAGCTCTGGGTCTCCATCCCAGCTCTGCCACCTCCAATCCCTGTGATCTTGGGCAAGGTATTACGCCTCCCCGGGCCTCACTTTTGTCACCTATAAAATTATGGAAATAATAAGCATACCTCTGACGGTTGTTGAGCCAGGCACCGTTTCAGGTATGTGGAGTATAGAGTCGAACAAGACATACAAGTCCACTGCTCTCAGGGAGCTTGCATTCTGGGTTGGGAGATAAAACAGTAAACAAATAAATAACATTATTTCATATATATGGAAAAGGATGCTGAAGAAACACATCATAGGATGATGAGATAAGAAACTGACTAGATAGGAGAACGACTTAACACAGGTATCAGAGAGAAACCTCGTTCTCAGAAGAAATGACATTTGAATAGGGAGAAGCAACATGCATAAAATAAAAGGACAGAGCCTTCCAGGCATAGAGATCAGCAAGAACAAAAGTCCAAGACAGATATGAACCTAGAATGCTCAAGGAACATAAAGAAACCCAGTGCAGGGGGAGGAGAGCAGTGAACAGTGAGCAGTAAATGTAAACATCTATTAGACAACTCAGTGAGGGAACCAAACAATAAAGTCATGAATGGAGCCTGGGTTAGAGGATGAAACTGAAATATAAATTCAGGGATGATCTACTTAACACAAATCTCTGTACAGCACCCAGCACTGTGCCTGAACATTATGATGATTGATAACCAATCTCTCCAGTCCCTCTTTTACAAGAAACTGAGTAGATATTTGCATTAGGGAGACTCAGCAAAAAAGAAAGAGAGAAGATAGGTAGACTTGGACTAGCTTAGGGAGAACAAATACGCTTCACATTGCCAACTCTATAAAATAGTAGGAACTTTCTGGGGTTCTGTGTTGAGCAGGATTCCGAGGCTAAATATGAGTCTCTGTAACAATGTGTTCCATTATATATAAATGGTGACAGATTTCCAAGGCTCTGGATTTGGCAGTTTCTGTTCACTATAAATTCCATTTAATTTTTTTCATATTTGGTAATTATTTCTCATAATAATAATATGAAGTAGATACCATTACTATCGCTACTTTATAATTAAGAAATCAGGCTCACGAAAAAGCCTTCGACAAAATCCAGCATCCATTTCTGATAAAAACGCTCAGCACTGTGGGAATAGAGGGATCATATCTAGACATAATAAAGGCCATATATGAAAGACCTACAGCCAACGTCATACTCAATGGGCAAAAACTAAAAGCATTTCCCTTAAGAACAGGAACAAGGCAAGGATGCCCACTTTCGCCACTCTTATTTAACATAGTACTGGAAGTCTTAGCCACAGCAATCAGACAGGAAGAAAAAATAAAAGGGATCCAAATTGAAAAGGAGGAGTGAAACTATCATTATTTGCAGATGACATGATACTATACGTAGAAAACCCCAAAGACTCCATCAAAAATTTACTAGATTTAATAAATGAATTTGGCAAAGTAGCAGGATACAAAATTAACGTCAAGAAATCGATGGCATTCTTATACACCAAGGATGAACTCACAGAAAGAGAAACTAAGAAAACAATCCCATTTACCATTGCGGCAAAAAAAATTAAGATACCTAGGAATAAACTTAACCAAAGAAATAAAGGACCTATTCGTAGAAAACTACAGGTCATTGAAAAAAGAAATAGAGGAAGATATAAAAAAGTGGAAGAACATACCCTATTCGTGGATTGGGAGAATTAACATCATTAAAATGTCCATATTACCCAAAGCAATCTATAGATTCAACGCAATCCCCATCAACATACCAACGGCATACTTCACAGAATTAGAACAATTACTTCAAAAGTTCATATGGAACCAAAAAAGACCTCGAATAGCCACAGCAATCTTGAAAAGGAAGAACAAAGTTGGAGGGATCACATTTCCAGATTTCAGCTTATACTACAAAGCGACTGTAATCAAAACAGCCTGGTACTGACACAAGAACAGGCATATAGACCAGTGGAACAGAACAGAGAACCCAGAAATGGACCCAAGGCAATATGCTCAATTAATATTTGACAAAGGTGGCAAGAGCATACAGTGGAGTAAGGACAGCCTCTTTAATAAATGGTGCTGGGAAAATTGGACAGCTACAGGCAGAAAAATGAAACTAGACCATCAACTTACACCCTATACAAGAATAAACTCAAAATGGATAAAAGACTTAAATGTGACTCATGAATCCATAAAAATTCTAGAAGAAACTGTAGGCAACAAAATTTCAGACATCATATGCAGCAGAATTTTCACTGATACATCACCTAAGGCAATAGAAACAAAGGAGAAAATGAACACATGGGACTACATCAAACTCAAAAGTTTCTGCACAGCGAAAGATACAGTCATCAAAACGAAAAGGCTACCCACTGTATGGGAGAGCATAATTGCCAATGATATATCAGATAAGGGGCTAATTTCCAATATATATAGAGTCCTCATACAACTCCACAAAAGGAAGACAAAGAACCCAATTAAAAAATGGGCAGAGGAACTAAATAGATACCTCTTCAAATAGGACATACAAATGGCTAAGAGACATATGAAGAAATGCTCATCATCACTAATCATCAGAGAGATGCAAATTTAAACAACAATGAGGTATCACATCACACCTGTCAGAATGGCCGCCATCAACAAATCATCAAACAACAAGTGTTGGCGAGGGTGGGGAGAAAAGGGGACTCTAGTACACTGCTGGTGGGAATGCAGACTGGTGCAGCCACTATTGAAAACAATATGGTGTTACCTCAAAAAATTAAAAATTGAACTTCCATTTGACCCAGTGATCCCACTTCTAGGAATGTACCCTAAGAAGCCTGAAACACCAATCAGAAAGAATATATGTACCCCCATGTTTGTAGCAGCACTATGTACAATAGCTAAGATCTGGAAACAGCCCAAGTGTCCATCAGTAGACGAATGGATAAAAAAGCAGTGGTACATATACACAATGGAGTACTACGCAGCTGTAAGAAAGAAAGATCTCTTATCCTTTGAGACTACATGGAGGGACCTGGAAAGTATCATCCTAAGTGAAACAAGCCAAACAGAGAAACACAAGTATCATATGATCTCACTTATTTCTGGAATATAATGAACATAACAGTCTGAGGAATGGGGTAGTCCCAGAGACGTGGAAGTGGGGTACAGACTGACAATCCCCAGAAGAGGGGGTGGTGGGGGAGAGATAAACCACAGAACTTATATGCATGTATGCATGAAGAGTGGACATGGACAACAAAGCTGGGGACAGGGCAGGGAGGGAGAGGGAGGGGGAAATCAGTGGGGGGAAAAGGAGAAATATCTGTAACAAAAATTAATTAATAAAAAATAAATAAATATAAAAAAAGAAATGAAAGTTGAATAAATGAATAAATACAAAAAAAGAAAAAAGAAAAAAATCAGGCTCAGAGAGAATTATTTACTTGCCCAAAGTGAACAGCCTTCAAACAGTTAAAATCTGGTGTCTCTAACTCTTGAGACTATGATCCTACCCACTGTGATATGTACATGTAAATTTGTTAAATTAGCTCCTTATTTGTATTCCCCTAACTGTAATTTAAGGGTCTTTCCAGCTGAGCCTAGTCTGAGCCTAGTATCTGGTTCCAGTGTGGAATGTCTCGTACAATCATAAATCTAATTCTGACATGTTCCTTGGTTTCTAAATTCACATGTTACCCTTTAAAGAAAGCATCTAGGCACAATTCTTTTCTGGTTGATGTTAGTGGGAAACATCCCAGTCCTTAAAATGTCAAATCCTATTTGATCAGGGATTAGGTAATCTTGTTAGCAGGATGACTTAATTTTAGCAACTGTCCAAATTCCATTGTTTTAGCAATCACCTACATATTTTTCATCACCTACTTTATTCTTCAGCTGATAGATTCTCACAGAGCTGCATTTAAAAGCACACACATGCATACTTTCTCAAATTAAGTTACTGCCACTGATGTTATTGTTGCCTCACCCACAAAATAGTAGATTCATATACTTTGACTAAAGAATAGGAATTTTAGGAACTTAGTCCTAGGGGATAGGAATTTTAGGGATTGTAGGGCTGTGAGAAGTAAAAACTCTTGAACAGGTTGCAGACTAACCACAACAGGGGCAAAACAAGCTAAACTATATTTAACCCTGAATTGCCTTGTCTTTTCTCTCCAGGAAAAAAGCATGCCATATACTACACTGATTTGATTCCAGCAAACTAACCAGATTTTGAATTTTTATTAGCAAGAGCCATAGGCAAAAGCAATAACACCATACCTATGAGAGTGGTTAGTTTTATTCATGAACCCATGCTGGGTTAAGAAAAGAAAAATGAAGGAAAAACTAACTTCAAAGCATTGCTGAGAGATAATTAACTCTTTAGCCACAAGTGACAATCACACAGTCCTTTGATGTGTGAGAAGTTTTAGTGCCTAACTATAAAGAAAGGACATCTACAATACAAGTTTAACCATTAAAAAAAAATCCAATGATACACTTCTTTTGCATCTAGAAAACCAGTAATTACATGGGGGAATAAACAAAACTGGAATTCAGCCTCAGAAATTAAGCCTTAAATGCAAAGCACACAAACAATCTCTCTCCCTCATCATACAGTTCACTGGCAAAATGCCAGCTCTAATACGTTCAGTTCAGAAACTATAACTCTTGACATTGTCATTTTTCCAGAGTCGCCCACTCCACAAAGTACTTTGGACATTGATCGAGCTGCATACACAGCTTCATCTCACAAATTCAACAATGCTTAAATTGGAGTGCTTAATACGCAAACTATGTAACACATTACTGCAAAGACTTCAGTTGTATAAATGCTTATGCCAATACTTTCCTTGAAATAAACACTGACAATGATCTAAAATTGCTAACCTTGAAGCCCTGAGCAACCTCTATCATTTATAGAGTGTATGTCATGGACTATTTTCACACAAAAACTGAGAATTATTAGTTAGTATGTATAATTCTTAAAGGCTGTGTGAAAATAGGCCACGAAATATACTGTATATATTTTAAGAGAAAATGGAAATTATTAAGAAGAAAAGTGTGTGAATTAACAATGGTCTAAAACTTAGGAAAGACAGAAGGCTGAAATCATGTACTTTAAATGGCTTTTAACATGTAAATGTGTCAGATATATTATTTGTTAAAATATTTGTATTTACCAATCTGAATATATTTAAATATTATTA